TGATATATTTTATTGAAGTACCTGGCTTTCTTGCTGAGTCCCATGATCCTTTAAGTAGGGCTTTCTTGAGAGATTCAGGGACGTGTAGGATGTGTATTTCTTAGGAGGCAAGGGCAGTTACAGTCTAAGTCTAAGTAGTAGGCCTACCGTAACATCGTTGAAACTTCCTCGCACGGGAAGCACCTTTAACTCTCATCGGAAACCCTAAACCCTAAACCCTAGACCTTAAACCCTAAACCGAACAAGTAAGTTGGGTGGGGCTTTGGGGCGTTCGAATTCTTTGCCTGTTTGCTCAAGCGAGGGTTCTCAGGTTTCGGGTTTAGTCAAGTTTCTTGGCATCGTGAGATGCTTTCAGGCTTTCGGTTTGAAGATCTAAAGATTCTAGCCTTTAAGCCCTTGTAGCTTGGGCTTGGGCCTTAGCCGTTTCAACGTGAATCGGAATCGAAAGATGCAGAGCCCCAGTTTCGGGATGGAGGGACTGTTTGGGTCTGAGAGAAGGGCAAGCGGATCAAGAGAGGACTCAACAGCTAAAGCTTTCCAGGGGTCATCCTACAGTCCAAGCTAGGCCCCAAGTCCTCGCTCTACAGCTATATCCCCCACCAACATCACTAAACCCTAAACCCTAAACCCTAAACTTCATCCGAAACTTCATAGACGCCACATTATCAGGCTCCGGTGCAGCTTAAGCCATTGCTCTCTGCCGGCAGCAACCGGCCCAGCCGCCTCCCTAATTCCAAGCTGAGTGGGAATCAGGCCTCAAAGGGTTGGGATCAAGGCAGGGAGCTGGGGCTGAGCGGTTTTGGGATTTAGGGTTTAGGGTTTGGGTTTAGGGTTTAGGGTTTTGGGTTTTGGGTTTAGGGTTTAGGGTGGTCGGTAACCATATTTGTGGTGGTAGGAGTACCCTAGTTGGGTTCTAGGCCTTACTGGTGCCTCAACGCATGGGAGGAAGGTGGGTCGGACGAAGTCGTCTCATATATTCTGATTTGGGATCTACCGATCAACCTGCATCTCACTGTTGGAGCCCCATGAACAGCAATGATATGTGGACTTCGGGTGTAGGATTCAGTCGTTGTCCGGGTTCGTGTAGATATACTTGCAATTTAGTCTTGAGGAAAATTAGGGTACACCCGCCGTAATTTGGGTCTAGAGCCATAAGCCCTGAACGAACATTACCATCACAAGTCAGCATATTACCTTAACCTACCACAACCTACTTCTTTTGGGGTCCCTATAAATTCCTATTAGGGTATCTAATAGGAACCTACAATATATAAAGTAGGGTTTGGTAGGTTTGGACATGAAAAGGTTTAAGGTTTTGGGTTATGTGGGCATCCTTCATATGATTTCAGGTTGATTTGCTTTCTTGAGAGGTATTGATGCGCAGTCCCGAAACCAGAGATGCTGTTTTCTTGTAAATCGAAACTTAGATACCCCGTCCTCCAAGCCCAATACCCGCGCTGCTGGAATCCGCCAACTTTGGGATTTGAGGTTTCGATGTGGGTTTTGTCCATCGTTCTGCTTCTCCCTAGGTCGTCGTGGATTCTGTGGGGAACCTGCTTCTAAAGGAGGACGGCAGCGCGACCTCTTTGTGCAATGAATCTGCTCGGGTTGGGGTTGTGAAAGGGTGTTGTGGATGTAGGTTTCCAGCCCTGGGGTTTATTGCTTGTGGAGCCTTTTCGGGGGCTAGGGTGTTTTGGGCTTGCGCTTTTTAGGGCTTGGACTTTTAGGGCTTGAGGGTGTCTTTCGGAAGCCGCCTCCTTTTGCCACTTGGGGGGAGCTCCGTTTGCCACCGTCCGGAGGATCTCATCATTGCCCTGTTGAAGCATCGGGCGACTCGGAATGAATCGACATCGCTTGGTCAGCTGCCATGAACCTTGCAGGCGAGGTTGCAGTACGGCTTTTGTAGGACTGAGGGTTCGGGTGTGCGGTAAGTAGTTTATCCTACGGTTGACGATATAAATCCTTAAGGACCCTAAGCTATGGGAATTATGGTATCTTCCTTGTTATGGGTAATGCAGGATTTAGATCATCAACAGTATATCATACCCCCAATCTCTAAACTTCCAAACCTTCGGCTTAAGCTGCTGATCTTCGTTGCACAAACCCCCCTTTCCCCAAAAGACGTAGGGTTTAGGGTTTTGTTTCAGGGTTCCCTGATCGTGCGCATGTACTCCCGCAGATAGGCTACGCTCCCCATATCCTAAACCCATGTACCTAATTCTTGGGTCCTTTGGAACCCAGAGAGTTAGCCCAATGAGTGGATGAGGCCCGGTGGCAATCTTCCTGCCCTACCTTAACCTGCTTAGGTGTTGGCGGCATGCCACAAACTCAGTACCCTCCGAAACCCTCAACCTTAAAGAAAAATTCAGGTCAGGATAATGGTTTGAAGAACCCATATACAAGGAGCCCTGCAGTCTCTGGGAAATCTCATAGAGCCCTTAAGAAGCCCTTCTCGTCAACTTCTATGTAGGGTTGTGCTACCTGTTGACCCGGGAGAACAAGAGCCCGAATAAAAGGCTACATCCCTGGGCCTTCTACAGACCTATGAAACCCTAGAGCTTTGAAGAAGCCAAGGTTCCGGAACACCTGTCCCACATCCGATCACTGCGGGATGTGAGCGAGTGTGGCCTGAGGTGCTCCCAGACGCTTTTTCAAGGGCTCCACGAGGGGATTCATAACGTTCTGGGGTTTCGGGTTTCAGCCATGTAATTTTCGGCCTAGGTGTAGTGTAGCATATACTAAGACCTTGCACTTTTTTTAAGGCTGTTAGTAAGTCAAGCACAAGCGACCGGGAACCGTCCCCTGAACCTCCAACCCAACCCAAATAAATCCATTCATGCCAGAGTAGATCCCCAAAAAAGCGAAAGAGCACTGCGACGACCATGACGCCCACGAAGCTCGCGACCTCTAGGAGGGACCCTTTTCCCCAAGTACTGGTGCGAATCGGGGCCTCGGCTCGTATGTTTCCCCCCCTTAAAACTCATGGGACACTCGAAGTCCCTTCTGCCAAGTACTGCTTCGACTTGAGCTTTGCGAGGCTAGCACTGAATCCGACTCACCTGGGGGTTTCTGACCATAGGGGACCCTAATTACCTTAAATAATAGGCTCCTTAATATAAGGACCCCAAAATAAGGTACCCTTAATTATCGGAAACCCCCACCTGGGCACGGTAGCAGTACGGATCCGGCAAAAATAAACATCGCACCCACAGCGCGAGTCGGCCGTAATGTGTACACCGCCAACTATAGAGGCGAAATCCAAAGCCGTAAGCCTAAGCCTGATTATTATGCCGTAAGTTCTCATCTTTCTACAACTTCCAAGTCCCTAAGTGGTCAAGTACTGTACTAATTGCCTCTCTCTCGCTCTGTTTCTTTCTCTCTCGATATATCTATATTAATCTATATATCTATATATCTATATATATATATATATGCATAGTATCATTTCTAAGTTTTTATACTAACCTACATTACTGCTACCCCAAACCCAGGTAGCTTCTTATCGGGTCCTTTGGACCCCTAGGGCGTGTTAGAGCAGTCTGGGCGAAACCTCCACTAACCAGAACAGCAGTTCCGAATAAGAAGTCCTGCTGTGGACTACGTAGTGCAGAAGCCTGAATAGTCACTGCTTGTATTCCTTAGGGCCTTATAGGGTGCCTTACCGTATTATAGCAAAAGTGGCCTGTGATAGGACCCCAAACCCCCATCCACTTATCAAGGCTTGCTTCGGATGCGTTGCCCAAAGGGTCTTATGTACTGTTCTGGGGGATACTTCCCTAAATCAAAGAGTAGTAATTCCTCAAAGAGAAACCCTACGTTCTACTATATAGGTACTTGCGACCCTTTGGGTTGGGAATGGCCCCACCGAGGCGCAAGAATGGCCTGGCACTTTGCCCAATCACGGGTCGCGTGCCCGATTTGCCGGGGGAGGAGTGAGAATTTGAGAAGTGTTTGGTTTTAGAGCTCTGCATCTATAGATCTAGGGTCTAGGTTGACTTGAGGGTTTAGGACTAGGGTTTAGCTTTCACGTTGAAGGTAAATTAAGAAGTTATTTGATTGGTAAACATGACTGGAGGACGTTTCTCGGTTTAAGCGTAAACTCGCGTGCATCCAAGTGTCTGGTGTGTTGTCTTGGGCAGCAGTCAGAACCCCAAGCCCCGCACAGTTTAGAGTTTAGGGTTACGGTTCCGGGGTTTGGAGTTTAGATTTTTCGTCTTTGGAGCCTTTTCTGCAACTTTGACCGTCGAGCCCGGAACCCTTTGTGATGCAACACCTGAATGTTGACTTGAAAACTCATCGAGCCCTTATAAACCATGGAGGTGCTGCGCGAAATCCTTATAAGACACCGTGTAGAACTGGGAGCCTGCAAGCTTCCAAAGCAAACTTCCCTTGTAACAGGCCGGGAGAGAAGCAGTACACGCACAATCAATATATATATATATATATATATATATACATATACATATTAATATACATATGTATATATATATATATATGTATAAATATACAAAGTGCCAGCACGTGAAGCGCGAAGTGACTTCGTTTAGCTTCGTGCATGTGGAGTATAGGCTTTTAGGCCACGAGCCGGAGATTGGCTTCTCGACAGTGTATGTTATCTACTGCACAGAAAGAGTGAACAGACCTGTGCGCAAGGGCACTCATGCTTGTGCGCGAAGGAACGCACACACACACACACACACACTCGCAGACGCATGCGCACCCACGTACACACACACACACACACAGGCACACACACACGCACACACACACACACACGCACCCTGAGTTTTAAGACGACAGTTGCTTTCGCGGCCAAGGTCCGTATAAGAGGTGCAGAGCCCGAACGAAACACAGCAAGGCATGACATATTGGGGTGCCATAGCAGGCCACCGAACACCACGTAAGCATGAAGATCTTGGACTTGGGGTCCCTTAAACCCTAAACCCTAAGCCCATAGAACCTATAATATGTTCTAGCACGGCTTTGCAGAGTCTAGGCTTTAGGCCTGTAGAGGTTCAGGCACCATGTTTCGGCAACCTGTCAACCCTCAATCCTACACGCTATTCCCGCATCATTGTTCTTATTGTTATGATTTTTATTTGTGTTGTTATTCTGATAATCATTGGTATTGTTATAACTGTTATTGTCGCCCTGGTATTTCCAAAGCCTCTACCCTCCGAGCCCTAATCTGTTCATAGTCAGGTGATGACCTCCGTTTCACTCCAGCACTGCTCCTGCAGCCATGTGGCGGCCTTGTCCGGTGTTTACGTATCAAAAGTATGGAACTTTTGCGGCCTAAGGTTGATGTTGATCTGTGTGGCATTGGAGTGATTGTTTCTATGCTGACGTTGGAGTGATTTTTTCTATGCTGGCGATGTAACTCCACGACTTCCCTTGGAGGCACCAGAATACTTCGAGCCAAATGCTCAAAACTCTAAAGCATATCGCGGGTCTCTGATGTTCTCAATTTTCTGCGGAAAGCCAAAGGAGCCTGAAGCCTTATTCCCTTCTACCTCGGTCCTAAAATGTCATGTGGGTAGTTTTCTAAATTAGGGTCCCTTTTGGGGTCGTTTTTATACGGGTGCCGTACTATGTCTGGTACCTAAACGGAGACCTTAATTTAGAGAACTACCCATGTGCTTGTTGGATAGCGTGTTTATGGTCAGGATATGTTACGACCTTATCACCGAGTATTGCATTTTGGACCAAGGTAACCCCTAAACGAAGCCGGGACATGTAACACATTTTCGGCACAGTGAGTTCGGAATCTCGTTGTTTGGCTTGGGGTTTCGGGCTCAGGGCTTGAGAGTGTGGCGTTTACTGTACCAAGTGGGCTAGGGCTTTGGTTGCACATGCGGCTAAACCCGAAACCCATCGAAAACCTGAAACCTTAAGCTTAAACCCTGCGGTCGAAAAGGGGCGATGAAAGCAGCATATGTGAACCTTATGCCCCAAACGCCCTACACCGTATAAAACCTGCAAGCCCAGGCGCCCGTTCACTTCACTGGTGACCCAAGCCTATAAGCTACAATGTCCACTGCCGTCCAATGCCGACACCTCACCCCTCACATGTACACTGGGCCTTCTTTAGGAATTATGCTTGCTTGAGATGAAACACAGGCAGAGCAAAACATAGTTTGTTTTTCGTGGGTCTGAATTCGAAAGTAAAGAGCATAAACCACACACACGCCCAATGTCCTTCAAGCCTTCATATGTCTTGAGGTGGTTGCATCATTGCTGAGGCTCAGCGCTGAGTTCTATGCCAGCGAGTGACAAGAGGAAAAAACACAAATCAAGCGAGTTATGCATCAGCACAGCTTACATCCAAGTATGTTACAGGCATGGTCGTAACAAAATATGCATTGGCATGAGGACGAATCAAGCAATTTCAGAGCGTCGCGGGTTCAGGACTTGTTCTGGGTGTTTCAGAAGAAGGGGTATCTTAGGCTGGGGCCCTTTACAATAAGGACTCTAGGGTTCTATTGTAGTGTCCCGTATCCCTGAAACTCTTTTCTGGCTCTCGGATTCAGGCCGTAGGGATTGATTGAGGGTTTTGCGCGGTTTCGGGTTCCAGAGTTGAGAGAAGGATTCAGAGGATAGAATCAGTGGTAGGGTTGAGGGTCTATCTGTTCCCCATATACGTACCCTGCAATTTTTGAGGGGTTCGGGCCTGTGATTTCTGGAGCGGTGTGTTTTCTCGATGCAGGCTGCTGCAGCTGTTTGAAAGGATTCAGGGTTTAGGGGTTTAGGGTCTAGGGTTGAGGGCTTAGAGTTTAGTGGTTTAGAGGTTTAGAGGTTCAGGGTTTAGGGTTTAGGATTTAGGGTTCAGGGAGGATTTAGGGTTTAGAGTGTTGTTGCCTAGCAAGTAACTTGGAGTCCGATCTTCGGTTGGTCTCGCCTGCAGGGCTCAAGGTTCGTGGGCATTCCGATATGTACGTGGTTCTGAAGTCTTCCTGACATGAGCCCATTCTAACAAGTATATAATCCCTATAACCCTACATAATCATTCGGAATTCGGGGTGACCGGTCTGGACCTCAGGAGGGCGCCGCACCGTCGCGGCCTTCAAAACACTGCACCCAAGCCTAAACCGCTAACCTTCACCCCTATCCACAAAGCCTAAACCCAAAACTCCCAAGCCCTAAGCGCGGCAACCCTACAACCCCCTGGTGGCGACTATGTGAGGCAGCTGCAAAGCTCAGCTCGAGTCAGGCATGTGAGGCCAGCACCACGGGATGTTTAATGTAAATTGTTCTTATTATCAAGGCCCCCCAAAATTAGGGTTTATTGGGTTGGCTTGAGCTTTAGAGGCAGCTTATGGGTTCAGGTTTTAGGGTTTAGGGTTGTTGTTTTGTTCTTCCCGATGTCAGGGCAGGGTTTCATTAGAGCCTTTTGCAGATTTTATTCTGGAACTTTATGTTGGGCCTCTTGTTCCAGGACATTTTCAGGTGGGTCTAAACCCTAAACCCTAAACCCTAAACCCCTAAACCCTAAACCCCAAACCCTAAACTCCTAAACCCTAAACTCCCCACCTGTAGTTTCCTTTAACCTGTGTTTCAGGGCTTCGGGGTCTCTTTTTTAAAGAGTTAAGGATCATAATTTGAATCCGATGCAGGGTTCATGGCTCTTGCTTCTCCACCACCGAAAACGCTTAAGATCTATACTTCAAGACCCCAAGCAGAACCATGGCTTTCATGAGCAGGTTCCTCTCCGCTGCAAAAGTTTCGGAAGTGGTTCGGGTTTAAGGTTTAGGGTTTTGGGTTTAGGGTTTAGGGCTTGGGGCCCAAACGCAGGCTGGCCATGGCAGAAACTCCAGTACCCATGGTGGATGCTGGTGAAGGATGCCCCACACGGATAGTGGAGCCTCTGGAAACCCATTTCCAGAGCTTCATTAGGGTTTAGGGTTTAGGGTTTAGGGTCTGCTGGAAGAAGTGGCTGCTGATGACGTCAAGAAAGTCTGGCAGAGGAGCCTGACTGCATTAAGTATCGAACTCTATTGCCACACAAAAAGGCAAAAGGCCCAATCATGTAGGTCTCTGGGGCCATGCCTTTGCCTCCAGGCGAGGCCCAACGCAGCCATGGAAGCGGAAAGTCTGACAATCCGAAATTCCCTGCTTGAAGCCCTGCATTGCATTTCAAGGAGTCGGTTTAAGCGACCAAACCTGGACGCCCCACACCCGGAGCAACCTGCATACTCCCTAAACCCGAAACCCCGCACCCGAAACCCCTAAGCGCAAAGCCTCAAACTTGAAGTCCTAAACTCTGAACGAAAGGGACGACTGCACTTAAAAGAAGCGCTGAACCCTGCTCTCGGAATTCGGCTCCTAACCAACCCGGCAAAAACAAAAAAACAAAAAAGAAGCCCTGAGCCCTACCTTAAGAACCCCAAACCCACTTTTTTGTAGGCTCTTATTCTAAACCCTATTCTGGGATTTATAGGGACCCTACAAAAAAGTAGGTTTTGGGTTCTTAAGGTAGCCTCGGAGGGTTACCTTATAGGATTCTATATATGAACCCCAAAAGGAACTCCTTTAGAGCCTACAATAAACCCTAAACCCTAAACCCTAAACCCTAAACTATAACCGACTACGCGAGGCTTGCGGCCGCAGTGTCGCAACTTCTGCGGGAGCCTCATCTCGGCCTCGAGCTCCTTGGGCTCAGGGTTTTGCATGGGGGGTTAGGTTTAGGGTTTAGGGTTTAGGGTTTAGGGTTTAGGGCTCAGGGTTTTTCAGGGTTAGGTTTAGGGTCTAGGGTTATTCAGGGTTCAGGATTTAAGCCATTAGGGTTATTCAGGGTTCAGGGTTTTAGGGTTTAGGGTTATTCAGGGTTCGGGGTTGTAGGGTTTAGGGTTATTCAGGGTTCAGGATTTTAGGGTTTCGGGATGTTTAGGGTTTACCCTGGACCCCAAACCCCAATCCCTAAGCCCTAGACCCTCAGCTGCCTCCAGAGGCTTTCCGACGGCTGACAGAAAAGGTGCTTAAAAAAACCCTAAACCCTAAATGGATTAAACCCTAAACCCAAATTGGACTCAACTCTAAACCCGATATTGATAGGATATTCAGGGTTTAGTTCAGGGCTTGTCGGTGTTGTGGTAAAAGGTTAAGGGCTTACCACGTAGGGTTTTTGGGGCTGAGGGTTTACGTGGTTGGGCTGGGGCTTGGAGGCAGGCAGGCATGCAGACAGGACTTGTATCCATCCCCGGGCGAAACAGAGGTCATGACTTTCTGGGAGACCGATGTTCCGTAGATGTACCATGTGATGAACAGCGACACTGCCTATTTGGTGCTCGCAATGTTCGCTTCTAGCTGGTTATGGGGGCCCAGACGGTTGCGCTCACGATGCTTGCTCGAGCTTCCTTGTTTGCACGTATTCCTCGTACGTAACCTGAGCCCTATACCGGCCCTCGTGGAAGTCCCTCGATTCAGGCACGTAAAACTCGGAGCCCCGATTATCGTTATGATTAAGAAACCCTGGTCCTATATAACACCAAAATATCAGGATCCATTACAGGTTTCTTCGTCAGCTTCCTGTTTTACCGTCGTTTACCCTAAACCCTAAACCCTAAACCCCAAACCCCTAAGTCGGTCAGGGTGCCCACCGAATCACCACGCAGCTGATGCTTATGATGCTCGCTCGATCTGGCTCGGGGCCCAAGTGTCGAATTCTCGGTCGATTCGTTGCCCACATTTGGGTAGTTTTCTGAATCAGGGTCCCTTTTGGGGTCCTTTTTATAAGGGTTTAGGGTTTAGGCTTTAGGGTTTAGGGTTTAGGGTTTAGGGTGCCGTACTGTATTGGGGACCCAAAAAGGGACCCTAATTTAGAGAACTACCCACATGATTTCCTGTCTTGCCGGGGACTCAGGCATCACAGGGCCGACGATCATGATGCTCGGTCGACTTGGGGCCACAAGCTCGATCACATGATGCTGAGAATGCTGTGTGCGCTCACCTGTCAATCCGAACGATGCACAGCTGATGCTGATGATGCTCGGTCGATTTGGTGCCCACATTTTGGGTAGTTTTGTAAATTAGGGTCCCTTGTAGGGTCCTTTTTATAAGGTATTGGGGACCTAAAAAGGGACCCTCGTTTTGAGAACTACCCATTTCTGCATGCTCTGTGCCTGCGGGGGCGGCCAAGGGCGCAGGTCGGACCAGTCATGAAAGGTCATATAAGGGCTTAAATAATGACTAATACTATTGTGGGGGGGGTGGTTCCTGACTAGATTTATAGTTTAATGAATCCCCGAAACACTATTTTACCAATACTATTGCAGGGGGTTGGTTCCTGATTCGATTTATAGTTTAATGGACCCCAAAAACCTTATGTTGATAATAAGGCCCCCGACATTTGATTAGATTTATAGTTCTATTGGACCCCAAAACCCTACTTTTGATAATTAAGGCCACCGACATTATTCAACAGCAGGCACGACGTAGTTCCAACTCGGACCGGGCTTTCGACTCAGAGACCCGGATGCCGAGGGGGAAGCATACCTTAAGAACCCAAAACCCACTTTTTTGTAGGTTCTTATTATAAACCCATTAATATGGGATTTATAGGAACCCTACAAAAAAGTAGGTTTTGGGTTCTTAAGGTAGCCTCGGAAGTGCAGCTGCAATCCAATCCACAAGCACGGTTTAAGGTTTTAGGGATTTAGGGTTTTAGGGTTTCAGGGTTTCAGGCTTTCAGGGTTTTAGGGTTTTAGGGTTTTAGGGTTTTGGGTTTATGACACAGTCTGTACAAGACCCACAACCCGACAACGCAAATCCTCAACTTCCAGGAGAACAAGAACCGGAAAAGCTTCGAATTCGCCCACATTCCACAACGAGGTCCCCCTGGGGACCAAAACGCGATGCGCTGCCGTCCAGGGCCAGCGGTCACCGCGAGGCAGGCGTGGCAAATTTATCTGCTGCTTTCGGGTTTGATAATATAGTGTAACATACTGTAACACACTACGACTATAATATACTCTAACATACTATATGCTAACTATACTGTGATATACTGTAGCATACTATATACTATACTATATACTATACTATACTATACTATACTATACTATACTATACTATACTATACTATACTATACTAGACCATTCCATACTACACGATACTACACTATACGACACGGTGCCCAGCAAGATGAAGAGTTTGGCTTCCAACTGTAGAGCTTCGTGATCTCTTCCTTTCATCGGCATTGCGGACCTTTAGTTTGTTTAGGGTTTAAGGTTTAGGGTTTAGGATTTAGGGTTTAGGGTTTAGGGTTTAGGGTTTAGGGTTTAGGGTTCAGGGATCGGGGGGCCTACCCCCAACTTCATGAGGGGTCTCCAAAGCAAGGCAGCTGCAACTCAAGGTGTCCTTTTTCGCCGGGGCGTCCCACGTAAACCGTATTTTTAAGACGCTTAACTCAAAGTCTGACACTTTCATTACCCTCAACCCTAAAGCCCTAAACCCTAAAGCCCTAAACCCTAAAGCCCTAAACCCTAAAGCCCCAAACCCTAAAGCCCTGAACCCTAAAGCCTTAAACCCTAAAGCCCCAGGCGTTCTCTAAGGGGGCCGTTTGTGCGATGATGATGGGGTTCTATGTTTAAGGCTTAGGGTTTAGGGTTCAGGGTATATATAGGGTTTAGGGGTCTATGTAGGAGACCGACAAGGGCGACTCCGTCTTCCTATCCGAGACCTGAAGATAAGCGCCCACCCTCAATCCCTACCCTCTTCAGAGCCACAAGCCCGAAACTCTGCCAGCGCGACACCCCTCTAAACCTTTAAGCCCTACTATAACCCTACAAAACAGGCAAAGTCGTCGCTTAAACCCCTCTAAACCCAAAGCCCTACAAAATCTTTAAGTTTTGTCGTTTAAACCCCTCTAAACCCTACAAACCCTATAAAAAAATCCCCTCAAAAAAAACCTTAAACAAATTCAACGTCTTCGCTTCTTGACATCAGGCCGCAGCCGCAGTCGAAGCCCGACTAAGGGAAGGAAGAAAAGGGACGGCTCGGCCCAAGGGTTAGACAGAGCTGAGGGTGTGGGATTTAGGGTTTAGGGTTTCGGGTTCAGGGTTTAGGGTTTAGGGTTTAGGGTTTAGGGTTCAGGGTTAAGGGTTCAGGGTTTAGGGTTTTTGGGGTTTAGGGCCTTGAAAGATTTAGTGTTTGGGGTTGAGTGTTTTGGGCGTGGGGAATAGGTTTGTGGGTTTAGGATTCAGGATTTAGCTTTGGTGGTTGAGGGTTTTGGCTTTTGCATTGGGGGGGGTTCTGCGGCGATTCAGGTGTAGGGTCGGTTGGGAGTTTACGGTTTAGGGTTTTGCGGTTCAGGGCTGTGGGTTTTAGGGCTATGCAAGTGTACGGCCGACAATTTAGGTTTTAAAGGCTTCGACACGGGTTCTGGGCTGTCAGGGTGCTGGTGATTACATGAGAGGTTTTCGTCACATAGAGTTTCAGGATACTGAAGTACATCTCTGTGGGAGTTCCCCTAAACCCTAAACCCTAAACCGTGGTTCATATGGGAGTTTCCGAAAATATGGGGTACCTTATTTGGGGTCCTTATAATGAGGATCCTACTGTTTAGGGTACTAGATTAGGGTCCCNNTCCCATATTTTCGGAAAGCCCCATATCCTGAACCGCAGAAGGGACTGTGCAAGATTCCGGAGTTCGGGCGGCTTCGCAGTTCGCAAAGTCAAAAGGGCAGACACCTAAAGCCCAAACCCTAAACCGCTGAACCCCTAAAAACCAACACCCTGATCCCATGAAGCAACGGGTCTGTATCGGGGAGGATTGATGGGAATCTGGCCGAGTTGCAAGTTTCGGGTCGCGGGTCTAAGACTTTATAGGGCCTAGGGGGTTTAGGGGTTTAGGG